TATATATATATATATACGTGTGCGCGCGCGCGCGTGTCTCTCTCTCTCTCTCTCTCTCTCTCTCTCAAGGGCAAGTCACTAAGTTCTTAGAAAATCTGTCAGAGGACACTCGCAGTGTCATGTCATATTATTTTTTGACAAGTAGCATCTTTCAACTAATTACGGTCAAATTTTGAGTGAAATTCATCGCGTGGTTTCATTTCTATAGACGATTAAAGCGAACAACCTTTGTATCTTTTGCAAAATGGAAAAAAACGAGTTGCAATGGTCAAGCATCTACATATGAAAAATATAAACCTATTATTATATTTTTAATAGGATGCACACTAGATATGTTTGTTAAATGCTTCGGCATTTAGATATTTTCACGTAGAGTAGTAGACTTTGAAGCACGCCATATTTATACCATTCGCTGTTGATCTTCTTCTAACCGAGAGAGAAAAGGCGTGGCCTCAACACATCCAATCAACAACATGCGACGCATCAGACGTTACTACGCAGATGCGAAGAGAAGTGAAGAACTCGTATATAGTATAATCATAGCCAGTAGCGACAGCGAATTTTTTTGTGGCTGCAATTTTTAGTGTGCATGTGTCGGTTAGTACACTTAGGCATGGCGGACGTATTAGAGTTTAACAGAAATTTAAATTTAAGAGTCTGTCATCCTATCATAGCTCTACAGTGTACACTTCACAACATGGTGGTGAATCATGTGACCTAAGAATATCTACAGAGTGCGGCGCCAAAATCCGGACAAATTATACATTTTTTTTCTAAACATGTTTTATTGCTACAATGAAAAGGTTTATAAAATTTGTTTATCTCCATTGTTTGTAAGGCCATAAAGAACATATTCACTCAATATATCCCCCGCTTGCTTGACCGCCTCCATTTTCGGTCTGAAGCGTGCGCAGGCATGTTTTAATGCGTCACGGTCCATATCGGTGAATGCCGCTTCAATAGCGGCTCTCAATGATGCGACGTTTGGATGTCTGGACTTGTTCGTGACCCTTTCAACCACGCCCCATACGTAGAAGTCCAAAGGATTCAAATCTGGGCTGTTGGGAGGCCAGAATTCTTTCGACCAAAACATGTCGACGTTGTCCTAGCAGCTTCGGAAAGCATCTGTCTCACTTTAATTGTGTAAGACTTGTAGCGAAGGTCCTCCTCGACGATTCGACGCATAGTTTTCTCGCTCACACCAACAACCGACGACAATTTTCGGATCGACTGCCCTGGATCCTCAAAAATCAGTTCCTGAGCCCGTTGAATGATGTCGGGCGTCCTGACAACGCGCTCCTTCGAGTGGAATTTCCTCGCCGGTGTTGCAGAACCTTCGTTGGACTTCTCCGACTCATGATACTTTGCGAAGACATCATACACAGTCGATCTCGGATACCCGAAGAACCGAATGATTTCTGTCGCCGAGCGCCCGGCGCGAATACTTTCGATAATCGCAGTGCCGCGATTACATCAAAGGTGCCGAAGGTTTGTGTCTCTACTGTGTATGATTATACTGTGTCATATATCCATGGATGCATTCTCTCTCACAATGCTCATGAACATTAAAGCTGCGTTCCGTTTCACGCATGATGCGCATGCTGCATTATTTATCCTTGTTCACCGAATGTTAAACAAGGATAAATGATGCAATATGCGCATCATGCGTGAAACGGAACGCAGCCTAAATATATTTTAAAACTCATTAGGAAACAGGAAATAGCTATAACGATCGAAACTAACTAACTTTTTAAATCATTAAATGTGAATTTGTATGTATATATAAATATATACATATATACTATATTTGTAGTCATTTGAACTGCACGCCGAAACTTTTTCGAATTTAAAAACACAGGTAAATTACTGAAATAATATCACAATTAAATTTTGATGCTCACCCAGCAAATGAGAATAGATTGAAATGAATTGAAATGGATTCAGATTTTCAGAAATATTGATTCACGAATGTTAAAATGAATGCTTTTCAATCCATTTTCAATGCATTTTTATTCATTTATAAGAATTGCATGGAGCATATCTCTATGTCTTTCAATTTAAAAATAATATTAGCTTTTTCTATGCATTGTGAATATTGTTCAATTCAAAATTTGGAATAGAAAATGCAGTTTTCAATCCAATTGTATCCAATTGAATCTAATCGAATCCAATTGAATCCAATTAAATCCAAAAAAAAGTATTCATTATTTAAAATACACATTCGGATAGAAAAAAATTTCAATCCATTTTAATCTCGTTTACTGGGCAATTTAACATCTATTAAAGAGATTTTAATATGCTGGAAATCTGTAAATAAAATTAATCTACACAGTCAACAACGACGTAGGGTATACTTTAATGTTATACACTGTTATACACTTTCAAAATTTTAATTGCAATTTTGAAAAGCATGTGTTACATATAATATATATTAGATCTACCTGAAAAGTTGCTATTAATATATTATTTACATTAACTTTTTAACTACAACGTGCTTGAAATAGAAATTGACTACTATGTGCGAAATGATAATCAAAAAAATCAATAATATAATCAATAATATCAATAATTAATAATGATCAATGTGGAATTATCGTCGAGCAGATATTAGATTA